TTAACCCGAGGGCTGAAGAGATTCTTATTCACTCAGGCAATACTGTATTGGCCCATATTGAGCTGTCATATGTCAGACATCGCGAGAACATCAAGGCTCAGCTACAGGTGGCAAAGTCGCAAGTCCACTTCAGTATTGATCTATGGTCGTCGCCGCATCGGAAAGCCTTCCTCGGAATATGTGCGCAATGGGTCGATGAACACTATAAGCTCCGCGAGGCCCTACTGGGTCTGCCGAACATACAGCACAGTCACTCGGGCGAGACGATGTCAAGGCACCTGCTAGACACAATACGGTATTTCCATATTGCCGGAAACATTGGTTACTTTACGGCGGATAACGCTACCTCCAATGATACTTGCCTACGTGCTTTATCAACATCACTGGCGAACGAATTTGGCGTCGGATTTGACCCCATTGAGCGTCGCGTTCGTTGCGGAGGCCATATTATCAATCTGTGCCTCCAGGCGTTTCTTTTTGCCNCGTCGCGGCGATTGAAGAGGCGGATGACAACATGGATGCGACAGTTGTTGAGTCTCTGCAGGCGCAATTGCAGCAAAAGGAACGGCAAGGGCAAATACCGAAGGGTGTCAGATGATCAAGCCGGATGGCGATCGATCGGCCCCCTTGGCAAACTACACAACATCGCCGTGTTTATACGGAGTTCGACAGTGCACAGCGACGCATGGCAGCGCCTGGCAGGCCGTGCACTTGGCATTGACAATGCAACAAGATGGAATTCATGGTACATGCTGCTTCGGACTGCACTCGAGAAGAAAGACAAGCTTATGGTGTTTCAACAAGAGCATCATAAGTCCTTGGGTGATGATAGTCTCACGCAGGACGACTGGGATGTCCTCAGGTTGACGGCGGACTTCCTCCAGCCCTTCTGGCAGGCTACGCTGGCGGAAGAGAAGAGGTGGTCGTCATTAGATCAGCTGCTTTACCACATGGACATCCTGCTCAAGCATTTTGAGGATGCAAAGGTGAATATCTGCTCGACTCTTTGACTTGAATGTATAATGTGCTAACTGTTTCACAGGAGACGTACAGCGATAATCAACGTCTCATCAACTCTATCCACATGGGCTGGTTTGTGCTTGACAAGTACTACTTTAAGACCGATGAGACGCCGGTGTATTCCGCGGCGCTGCTTCTCCACCCGTCAAAGCGATTAAAGTACCTCCGGCAGAATTGGTGCGATGATTGGCATGATGGTGCGATCGATAAAGCCAGGCAGATTTGGGCTCAGTACAAAGATCTTCCAGTTGCTAGTACTCCAAGGCGGCCGCCGGAGACGCAGATGACAGCGTATGATAAGCTCGCGCAATCGCTCGATGTGACGGAGGCGAGTGACGACGAGGATGAGCTGGAGAAGTTTATTACCGGCTCTCCATGCAAGATCACAGTGAGTCCCCTTGAGTGGTGGACCAGAGAGGAGCAAAGGGTGGAGTATCCCCGGCTGCATAAGATGGCTATTAACGTACTTTCGATTGCGCCTATGTCGGACAAGGCCGAACGTGTCTTTTCAGGTACTGGGCGTACTGTGTCGTATGATCGTGCACGCCTCGGGACAGAAACTATTGAGACGACGGAGTGTCTTGGAAGCTGGAACAAGAACGACCTCATCCGGAAGGTGCATGTAGTTCGAGACGATGACAATTCAGAATGAGAACAATAGAAACGACAGTGATGTTATCTTGTTCCTGTGCAGCTCTTTATGGAGTTCTTGCTCCTTAGATGATTCTCAGTCAAGACGAGTGGCACTTTCGGTGCCGTCGTCTTGATAGGGTTGGAGCATACAATGTGATTGGATCTGAGAGACGATGACAACTGCTGTCGCACCGCTAGCACAATGACGTCATGTCTTGGCACTTACTGATAAGCTAATCAATCAGTATCAGTACCGGCCTTATCAATCAGTACTGCTTGTTGATGCCGGAGNCTCATTATCAAAGAGTACAGTTCCGGATACTCCACTGCCCTGTGCGGCAGGTTGTTATTGACTATAAGCTGAAGTAGCGACTCGTCGAACGCCGTCTGGTTAATGGCCTTGCTCAGCATGCCTCTCTCCCGTTCATCAGCTTCTGCTTGGCTCCTTTGCCCTTGGCGTTGAAAAATTTGCTCGAGCTTGGCCTGCCCCTTCCGTACAACCTGTCGCTGCTGCGCCTTGATCTTAACACCATGCCGTAGATCGAGATGATTTCGGGCAGAGGTTAGGGACGCCGACTCCCACGGGCATTTGCCGCAAACCCAAATCCTGTTGCCAGCTCGGTCACGTCTAACTTGTTCATCCAGCTTCAACTTCTTCGCATGAGCCCAAGTCTCTGTCGCCGTTTGGGTACGTTTCTTAGATCCGCGGCCGGAAGGGGTACTTGCGAAAGTCGCTGTGGAGTCGGGGCTGCCGCTCCAAGATATGTCCAGAAGCTGACTGGAATCGGGCTCAGACATCTGGCAAGTGGAGTCGCCCATGCTTGCGCTGGCATCGCTTATCTTCATTGTCGTAGGCTGGTATCGAATACTGCCTTAAATAAAGCGATTGTTCACACTGAGACGGAAGAGAATTTTTTGGAAATAAGATTCCAATTGAGTTGTGTCACAACATTTTCATAGTGAGACATTC